CTATCTATGGTCTTTGGAGATCCTCATGAACACATTATCTATGATACTGTTTGATTTTATTGTAGGATGAGCTCATGATAAAAAATTGTTCTTTCGTTAATATGTTATCTATGGTCTTGTTTTGTTGGTGTGATTAAGTGATTGGCAGTTTCCTAGAATCACTGTGGTAGTGTTGGGGCTGTTAATTTGGTGCTGTAATGATGGATGTAGAAATGTGGTGCAGGAACCATTATCATTCTTGTTGGGTAATTTGCGTTTTGCTGTTGCCAGTTGGCATTCTGCAACAAGAGATTATTAGCACCTTCACTGAAATTTTTAGGAAATTTTAAGTTATCTTTTAGAACATCTAATGTGTTTGCATAATGGCAGTTTTCCTAAAATTTTATCATTTTTAAATGTTTTTACTACTATTTGCATAGTGAACCTTTCGCTCTTCTTCCAGCAATCTGTTGGCTAATATGTTGTTCTGTCTCTGTGTGTGTGTGTGTGGCTGCTCTCTATTATTTAAACTGTGTATAAGCTGCCATGAAAATCTTTTGCTTCAGCCTCTTTAATCATCATACTAATCAGATCTGTAGCCATTTTATTTCTTTCATGTTATTTTCTTGTTAAAGGATTTTGTGGGCTTTTCTGGTGAGTTCCTTGATGTTTCTAGAAGCTTAAGGCCTCAAGAAACCATTTTTTTTACTATTTTATGATATATTTTCTTCAATATTTTAGTTCTTTTTATTGGTGCATTTTTTATTTTGGTTTTATGTTTTCTCCAGATTTACTTGTATACTTCATTTTTTTTTTCTTTTTGCCCAATGATGTAGAACTAGAATTGTGTAAGCAGTTCTGGTTTAGATTCATCTATAGCTTTTGCAAATCACTGCCACTCTCTCTCTCTCTCTCTCTCTCTCTCTGACTCAGTCTCTATCTCTCTCTCTCACTCTCTCTCTTTCTGGCATATGTATAGATGTATGTATATATATATATATATATTAGTGGTTTGCTAAAGGCTATTGATGAATACTATTGCAATGAATCATTTGTGATTTAGTCAAATCTCTAAGATCTGAGGGCATCATAAATGACTGTTTTAGGGTGTGCAAATGCAAAGTCATGGACGTGGTCATTTTTCTTTCTTCTTGTTTGCAACAGCTCCTGCTTGTGTAATTTGATCTAATTTGCAAGGATGTGACTTGCAGTTTTTCCCTCAAGTATTATATTTCAGTAGCCTCTGCCTTAGCACTTGAAAATTTTTGTTGAACTTTTAGAACTTTTGTGCATTTGTCTACAGTGCATTTTTTTTACTCTTGATCAAGGTTTTTATTATTATTATTTTATTCCTTCCTGTATCTAATCTCACTGAATTTGTTATGCTCCATGGCTGTTGAGATTTCTTTTTATTGCATAGCCATGATGTCCATAAATCACCTTATGCTAGCTGATTTTTTAAATTGTCCTTTACTGTGCAGTCACGAATTTTAGGTTTTTTTTTTTTTGGTCAAATGTTGGAAACTTATTGAATGGAGAGATTGCTTTGGTTGTTGTTGTAAGCAGGCACTTCTCCTCCTCCTCCTCCTCTTATTATTACTACTACTACTACTACTGATTTTGGCAGTAGATATGATGTGGAAAGGCTTGCAATGAAACTGTACGCTTCAAAATCAATGAACTTTCATAGCTATGAGATCTGAGGGCATTGTGGTTTCTCTTTTTTGTTGTTAATAGTTCAAAGGCGTCCACAATATTGTCTCGGAGTCAATTTCTAACTGCTTCCCTCTCACATAATGTCCTGAACCTTCATTTTTTTTTTTCTTGTTGGATTTGCCCAATGATGGAGTGGTTGCATTGGTAATTTGTCGTTAGTCTTCACAAACCACCTCTCTAATGCTCTCTATCTCTGTGAGTGAGTGTGTGGGTGGGACTTGGATTTGTGTGTTTTTGGTGGTGTGTAAAGGCCATTAGCATTATACCACAATTTTCAATTTTGTCAATTCAACACCAAAACTCAAATTTAGAAAGCAATCACTTTCTTCAATAGGATTCTCTCCCCTCTATAACTAGGGTTCTAGCCTCGTGTTGAATTAATGAAAAGAGAGGTATCTTACACTTGTAGTGCTTGCTATTGGCATTAATCTTTTTGTACCGTCTCTGTGTTGATTAGCTGACTACCTCTCGGACATGTTCGCGCAGGATTTGAGTTAAGAAACATGATGGATGGCATTTGGTTGAGCCAATTGGCAGTGTAACCTTTTGATTTCTCTTCCTTAAGTTGTCTGCATGTGGATTCTCATAAACTTTTGTTTATAGAAATCTTGCAAGGAATGAAGGAAATGTGTTTGTATCATTGTAATGTACGTGTACACCCGCCATTTTAATGTGCTCCTTTTTAAATTGCTATTAATCTTTGCACCTCGGCTCTTAAAATATCAATTCTACCATCTAAAAAAGATTTCAAGATTTTATCTGAAGTAGTTCTGGTGAAAAGCACTCTTAAGGTTTTAAAAGTATAGGATGGATATGCTCTTTTTAAATATTGAAAATTTTTGATAGAATTCTTCAATTTCGATATTCCAATACACATCTTATTTATATTTTTATTAATTTAGATTAAATTATGAATGTTTCCGGAGTTCAGAAAAGGGGAGTTATTTATGACTATAACCTATAGGTTCAACACATGTATTTTTGAATTTACCCCCTCGATGGAGGAATTTTTCAAATTTTAACTCAAATAATAATAATAATAATAACAATTATAAAAAGAAATAATCCTAGTTTGAATTTTTTCGACTCTGGACTACCATTGTAGTAAAATTCGATAAACCTTAACCCAGAACTGCGGAGCTTCGGCCCACCTTAAAACCACTCTTTATTCCAAGCTCCATCTCGGCCCAGGCGAGATGGTGGCCGTGGTGCTGTTCACTCCTTCCATAGAGAATCATCCTATATTAGCTGTAACTGAAGGTTGCAAGGTACAAGTTGTTGGATTGTAGGTAAGTGGTGCTTTTTTGGGTTTTGCTTAATTGGTTCTTGATATTGAAGAACTGATTTTTATCTGTTTCTCTTGAGTCTTTGCTTACTAAGGGTCCCTAGTACCTTCTCCAGTATGAGCCCGAAGCATTATATTGAGTTATTCTGGGGCTCATTTGGTCCATTTTTTTGTGGGAGTGTAGTAATCAAGCTTCTATGTCCCATGATGGTTGCTAGACCCCAAAAGCATAGCCAAGAAAATTGGGATCTTCGTGGCTGATGTTGCTGCTAAAAAGAGTGAAATAAACACTTTGGAAGATTTCGGTAATGGACTTCCATTGTGACAGTTCAGGATTCTTCTAATCTAATCTGATTCAGGTTTTCTTGCCAACAAATTTCGTTAATTTCAATGCTTCCATTGCCACGCAGTCAAAATTCCAAAAAGTCACTCTCGCCTGAGTCAAGCCATTTAATGAAGGGCACGCAATCCGTTCCATAAGATAAAAATTAGTACATTTGATTGTTTTGTGCATTTCAATCCAAGGGTGCAGCATTAATTTATGGGTGAGCTATAACCACCAATCATTTTGTTAAATCAACTCAATTTTATTTAGTTAAATTGTTAAAAATAATTAATAATTAATAAAATAATTGATATTTGTTATTTAATATATTAAAATTAATTTATAAATTGATATTTTCAAACATTATAATTAATTATTTTAAAAAATACAAACAAATAGAATATTACAAAAAATTATGTTACTGTTTACCTTGTAGCGGACTGTAACATTCATAACCATTAAAAGGGGGATAGATGGCCTTATGGTATTGGACCCTTCCCTCTCCGTATAAAAGGTCTTGATGTTACAGTTCAAGTATCTAAAAATATTAATCAAATTAAATAACTTTTGAGTGATTTTAACACAAAATGATTCTTTTTTGTACTAATCCCTAGTATCCAATAACTACATTGGGTCTCAACTAATTTGGAATTAAGTCGGGTCGGATTCAATTAAGAAGAAATTCTCTTAATGTCTATTTCTTCATTCATAAGACTTGAACTCAAGATTCTATTTAAAAGAAACTGAATTTCTTTTACTCAGACCAACAGGTTATTGACGATTTTAACAAATGATTAGTGGACATAATCACACACATAATTTATGCTTGAGTCTTGACCATCATGCAATTACGCATATGCACGGAGCAAACATTTGACATATGGCTTATTGTATGCATCTTATAATGTGTATGAAATATCCTTCCTTAATTCAATGTAGTGATTTATAAGTATCTCTTGCATTGATCTTTACTCTTTTCGGTACTAATCTGTCACTATAAAATCTCAAAGAAGATTGATCACATCTTTATATGATGGCTCACTTATCAATCGATTTCGCTTTTATTATACTCAGTCAAGCAAATCAAGATCCATGGTTTCCCGGAGAAATTTGTGGTATCCTTGTTTCCTCTAGAGACAACTATACTTAGTACATAATGTATTTCCAATTTAACTTCCAACTTGGCACATCTTACTTTATCATATATCTTGTCCTTGCTTCGTTCTTTTTCCTTCTCCTTTGCCGCCCTTTATCCTCTATCTACCTGCCTTGAGAGGGAATATATGAAAATGTGAACACAAATTGCAACACTATACAGTTTGCCATGGTTGGTTGAAAGATTCTAAGATTTCTTTTTCACCCAGTTGTTTTCTTGTCAGTTAAGATTTTATTTATCATCATGGGTTTCAAATGGGCCTGCAGAGACTAAGAAAAAAAGGCTAGTGGTCCTTTTTATTTTCAATTTGAGTTTATCAAATTGATGAAAATTCTCAGGTCAAGGTCAAGGGGCCTAGCAGGGAGATGAATGAATCTCTCAAACTAAGGTTGCTTTCAGGTTTTGTCCTTTTATGAGGTTTGGTTGACCTTGGTGGTGGTGGGTATACCTGGATAAAAAGGTCCCATTGTTGAGATCATCTATTTTATTAACAACTTATCAATTATTATTGAGATAGGTATGTATGTACATCTTTAATGACCTTTTGGCTCGTGAAAAAATTTGAGATTTTCTTTTTAAATCATTCATATTAAACCGATTACAAGAGTTGGTTTTTTTATTATGTAATTTATATTATTTTGTTAAATAAATTGTATTTATATTATTTTAATAAATACTTAAATGAAAAAATAAAAAAAAAAGGGCTTCCATAAAAAGGGACTAAGATATAGGCATATAACTACCACCTAAATTGTTAAAGTCATTAATTTAATTATAATTTTATTAATTTATAATTTTTCTTCTTAAATATTTAGTTATAATATTTAAAAATATTTATTTATAAATTGATTTTAATTTATTAAATAATACATATTAATTATTTTATTAATTATTAATTATTTTAAATAATTAAATTAACATAAAAATTTAATGATTATTAATTATCTTAATAAATTAAATGATAACAATAACTATAGTCAATATAATTATAAAACGGAATCACGACTCTAGTCCAATTAAATATTTAGGAATAATAATTTAATGCGCGCAGGACCTATAATAGTATAATAGCTTGTACATATTTTGAGTTTGATATGTGTCAATATCATTTTAATTGACACGTAAAAAAATTCATGAACTTTTATTAGAAAATTATTAATGTCAACATCTAATTAAAAGATTTTTTTTTTTCTCTTTTCGACATTTATTTATTTTGTTAAATGGGGGACCAAGACTTTCTAATTTTTTTGTAAATTAAAGTATTTTTGAGTAAATATATGTATATTTTAAAATTAATTTTTTCCTAGAAGATATTAAATGTGCACATTTTATATTGACTTAATGAAAAAAAAAAATAATGTTAGTTTCATTTTGAATTCAAGTTCCCTTAATATGTAAGTAAGTGTGAAGTAAAAGATAAAAAAAAAAAAATTTTTACGATCTAATTTAAAATTTTTAAAAATTTAGTTTAATTTAAAAATTAATATTTTTTATTAATAAACTCAATTGTTAAACTCTTAAAGAGATGTTTTAAATAGTTAAAAAGTTAAAATTTTAAATCTATATATATATAAAATGCTACCCTATGCATTAAATACGGTAGCATT